AATTTTTTTCAGGTCTGATTTTCACTATTGCTCAAATAGTGCTTTATTGCGAAGGATCGTGCTCTTATACGTCTCATAACCGCAGTTCACACATATGTTTCATATGTTTGTTGTTAAATGAGGTTATATAGTTGGGCAGGCGAAAAGACTAACCAAATAGAGGACTGTTATCATAACCTACGGCATTGCTTACATTATTCTCTAATATTTGAGATTGTATTTATTTTCATGAGAGATTTGTTTGACTTGAAGGTTTCACAGAAGAGAATAAGGTGATATTTAGTGGAGAGGAGAGTTCCCCCAGTAAAAGGACCGTCCACATAGAGAGTGGCTTACGTGTTGTGCAGCTACTTGACTTAGGATCTTTTGAGACAGCCACTGAGAGGGAGAGAGACAACGAAGAGTCTTCAATCCTCAATGCTAACGAGTCTGCAGCACATGCTGGCAATAGTTTACCATCGCACAAAACAGCACAAGAAACTGTGCCTAAAGGGGAGAGTGAATACGAAGATGTCAGTGATATATCTGATGAAGGAACTCCTGAAAGGGACCTTCCTGGTAAAAAAAATTAAAAATCTAAGTTAATGTTTAATTTTGACATTACTTTCTGCAAAGTGGAAAGAGTTCATTAATTTGATTGCTATTACTGCTCCCAATCTCATGGATAGTCGTCGGTTCAAAGGGAAAGTAACAAGATTTGAACCTTTCTTCTCTACTCTCCCTTCAATTCGTTGTCATTATTTCATCTTCAACATGTAAAAATGTCAGACACAACTCGTTACTTAAGTTTCTTTGTTCGGTGTAGACAGAGTGGTCACGCACGGGAACCAGGCCATTCCCTTCCACCACCCAGGGGTAAAAGTGTAAGGAGACATAAAACAATGTGTAAGAGTGGGGTTGGGGAGGGGACTGCCTCCAATAGGCTTGTATTCCGACCAGTAGAGCAGAAACTGGGAACAAACTTTAGCCGATATTGGCCATCCAGCTTTGAAGACCTAACCTTGACTTTGAGGCAGGTTAACGTGAAAATCACGTCAGTGTGCTTGGAGTGTGACAAATTCGAAAAACTGGTGAATTATTCGTTTTCTTTGTTTTGTCTGCAGAGTATGGATCTGTTGATATTGAATTAGAACAGCGATGGTCATCGAAGGCAACTCGCAGCACTGACATTCAAGCATCAACTAGTGTACCTCCCCAAACACCTGAAGAACTGATGAAACCTAAACTAGATGTGGTACGAAATGAAGCAGATAGTTCCAGCGCCAACACTGAACGACCCAAAACGCTGAAAAGGTACGTGACGGTTCCAGCACAAAAAAGAAAGCGATGGAAAAGTTCAAGCGAAGATTATGACTCAACTGAGGTATTCACTCTGACAAAGAGAGGCAAGAAGAGCGCTGGACATGATAGGAAAAGCCGTAGGGCATCCCCTGGCTCCCACAGGAATGGTTCTCACAGAGATAGGCAGTTGATCGACGAGCCATACAGGCTATCAAAGGAGCGCGTATCTAGAGTGTCGAGACCTGAACTGCCTCCACGAATTGTGAGCGATTTCAAGGATGGATTGAAGATCACCATTTTACAAGGTAAAGGAATATAGATTTTACAAGGTAGTACGCTGTAGGTAAGCATACTGCAGTGCTCGAAATAAAAAAAAAAAAATCCAGGTCGTCCCAATTTCAAAAGCCGGGCAGCCGAAGCTGTGAATTTGGTTGCCCTGATGAATCCTTGGTTGCCCTGTAGAAAAACCCACACATTTAAGTGCACTACTCAAAAAACATCCATTTTTACGCCGTGAAGAGCTTGAGATGTAATCACATTGCGGTCAAGCTTGAACTAATCTAGTGTGCGGCAGTGGTTTTCGCGGAAGTCTGGGTTTAAGTTGTGGCATATTCAAAATGGCGTCTTTGATCTTGATCGCTTCCAGACAAGAAACTTTGTATTTGTCTCTTACATTTTCGTACCTGGCAATGTTTTATAAATTTTACAGATATCCAAAACACAGGAAAACGCTTAGCTGAGGCAAATTATTATTAACTTCACACTACCCGACATTGACAAAACMAAACCCTCACCTAGGTCAGGTGCTGTTTATGGTTAATTTATTTTCTATTTTTGGCTGGGTTGTCCGTTGTTTTTTCCCCGGACAACCAGCCTCTTAATTTTACTAAAAATTGGTTGCCCGGTAAACTTTTTGGTCGTCTCGGACGACCGCTAATTTCGAGCACTGATACTGTGGTACAACAAGACAGGCAAGGAAACGTCAAGCAGAGGAAACAATTCAATTGTTCTTCCATTTCCAGTCGTCAGGTGAAGATAGTGTTCTTGTTTGTAAACACAAGAAATTCGCTTTGAGAATTTGAGAATTGTTTTAATCAAACCGAAATACAAAACTTTTAGAATCCTTTGTCATTTTTGAAAATCAAATATTACGTTTATCGAAACTAGAATTGGTGTCCTTTTCCCTCTCTTTTACTTTGTATGTGAGTATAACCTTTTTTTTTTTAGTTCGTGACGAGCTCAGAATTACTGGGAATGAATTAATGTGGATTCTTTTACTTCTTTTTTAATCTCTTGAGATGACTCCTTGTGAAATAAATCGTACAGATAGGAAGATGTCAAGTTATCAAATTTTAAATCTGGCCTGTCTACATTCCATAAAAATACTATTAAAAAGGTTATACACTCTTAGAATTAGCCAAGTGTTAAAAAATTCTTCTGTTTAGATCCCTCAAAGATGGAAAAAGAAGAGGAGGAAGTAGATCTGCATGAAACAGAAGAAGCTGAGAAAGTGAGTTGCATTCGGAAGAAAAAGAATAGGCTTCTTCCGAGTTCTCGCGGTTCAATGACCTGCTGTCGAAATTACGGCGCGAGAACCTTCTTTTACGGCCATTACTAAGCTGAGTGCCTCCTTCCCACCAATAATTTTTCACTCTCCCACATTAAATTTCGATAAATTTCGCTCATTTTTACCACCACGGCCCTTTATTCTTTATAGCGATGAGAGCGACTTCGTACTTAGCCTCGTTCCCGCGCAGTAATTTCGGCATCAGATCACTGATGCGCGAGAACTCGTGCTTAGATAACTTTTGTCATGTGATCAAATTTCATCCAATCCAAATCTGTCACTCCTTTAAAACGACATAACTGGTAATTAAGATAAACATTCCTGACATTGCACTAGTCTAGAAAACCTCAAAGCCAGGTTGCAAGTGACGTCTAATCCTCATCTTTCCTTACTAACAAAGAAACGACCACTAACTGACATGGAGTACAGTGACCTTGAAGACATAAGTCCAGGTGGGCTCAGCTCTGATATTGACAGCTGCCCAACTACTCCAGACACACCTGAAACCGCAACTCCAGCCATGGACTTCACTCACCCAAGTCTAGGATTCTGGGCTGCACCACTGAAATCAAATGACGCTTCCAAACCAGCTGGAACGGTTGTTAGCGATGAACACCCCGTGTCTGACTTAGAAATATTGTCCCCAACTTTACCTCCATCGTCATACCTTGAAGAGCACCCTCTTGTAGAGGTGGAACAAAGCCAAGTGCCATATGCTTTTGGAGAGGAAAAGATTCAGGATGGTGTTGTTCAAGAACCGTGCATATCACGATCATCTTGGTCAGGTTAGTGTGTCAGGGTGATAGTATTGTCCAGCTATACAAATAGTTTAACAATAGCTAAGACTCGATAGTAGTCAGTAGTAGCGCAGGGAAGGTGCCGTAAATTGAAGGTAGCCGCAGACCAGAGGTCACCATGGAAGCCAAGCGATAGCCTTGCTCCAGGCCTCTGTCAACTCCACACCGACAGTCTGGTTTCTGGAATGACTACTCGCCTCAAAATATGGGAGGAAGAGTGAGAGAGAGAGGAAGACAAAGGAAGTAAACAAGCAAATCAAATTGAGAAACCGCACCTTGAAATGCTCCTGCAGATCACCTGGAAGCCCCCTCATCACATTGGTGAAAATGATGCATTGACTTGTTTTGAAACCTTGCCTAAATGACACGTACATGTAGCCTCTTTGAATGATATTATATCATTCGACTTCTGAAGAAAGTGCTCATAAGTGGTGTTATTAACCAACTGTGCTTCGTAGAACACAAATAACGACCAAAACGAGCACAAATATCTCGCGGTATCAGTGTTCTAGCTAAGAAAATGGCCTGCCGGTTAAGGGAGCCATTCAGCCTGCGGTGTCCAGTCGTTTGCAACATCTTGTCTGCGGGGCTACCAAGCTTTGAGTTTACAAAATGGCGACCCGAAACAGAGAGAGACACCACAGATCAGTTAAGACCAGTGAATTCAAAGCAACACTTGATTTCACCTTTCATAATTCTGCAGCTTAGTTGTAGGTCGGTATTTATTTTCACCTTTTGTTTTCAATCGGCAAGGTGTTTTTTTTTTCCCCTCCGAAACTGTTAAAAAAAAATCAAGACTCGTCTGTCGAGCGATTACTAACGAAAATTCAGCCGGCGACTGCCTCTTTCTCAGCCGGCAACTGCCTCTTTCTCAGCCGGCGAATTTCGCCGGCTGCTGGCGCCTAACGACAACCCTGGGTATTTGTACTTCAAAGAACCGGCAAGGCAGGTTTTCTCGCATCGCGTATGTGACAATTGGATAGAAGTTAAGTAAAAAAAGGCGGACAATTTGAATTATTTTTATGACGATGAAGAGGCGATGGCTGGCGATGCCTTGATCCAAGTTGATTAGGTAAATCAAACGAAGAAAAGCAGTCGGAAGACAGTGAAATTTCCGCGCCAATTCCGTTCCGCCTCGTATATTTCTGTGACGCACTCCCCAGAAGTAAATATCCGCGAAATTCACCCGCACTGAAACGACAATTTGGCGTGTTGGATAACAAATCTCTTATTAACCCTTTAAAGTGTCTATGACACATTTTTTTTCTATTCTACATCAAAATGTAATGACTCTTAAACATGTTTTCGCAACATTTGTGGTATTTTGCCCTTTTCTGAATTTTTTATCAAGCTCTATAAACCGCAGATAAAATGTCTGGCCGAGCAAAGAGGGACTGGGTGCCATGACGTCAAAGTAGGAATCTTGAGGAGAGAAATATTCTTCATCGAGTCAGGGGTATTCGAAAAACCCCAAACTACACATCGAAATGGCATTTTTTGGCTAAAAAGATTGTAAACAGTAGCTTCCACACCCACTTTGCTTCTTTGATGAACTTAGTGTTACTACCGTTACGTCACGGGTTCCAGTACTCTTCAACGCGGCCAAAGAGATACGGGGAGCCTAAGTTCGATACAAATTGGGACTTTTATCGCCTCGTAAAATAACAAAGACTTATCAGAATCACCAGGCACCCTATACATCTATCTTATAATTTAAGGCTAAAAATTAGGTGTCGTAGGCACTTTGACCCCTCGGAGTTACTGGCTTCTAATTTCTCCTGACACTGTGGTGACCTCCAACATTCCTTGCGTGACAGTTCTAGAACATTATTGCTTGATCATATGACATTTTGGTCTTAGAAGGGGAGTTAGCAATTCCCCCAGGTTAAACACGCGCTCTTTGAAGCAAGCTGTTGTCGTTCTGTACGTTCTGCGTTTACGAGAATAAAGATTAGTTCTTATTAGTGTTCGTCTATTCTGAACACTAAAACACTGTCACTGCTGAGTCAAACAGTAAGGTCGGGAGAATAAAGAAAATGGTCACCAACTCAAGAGGCTCTTGATTGGGGAGTAAATTCTCCCCTGTCAATACTAAAGGAAATGTGTAGAGAACAGTATGGAGAATATGGAGACTGATGTGAGGCTCTTGATTTGGGGGTAAATTCTCCCCTGTCAGTACTAAAGGAAATGTATTGAGATCAGTATGGAGAATATGGATGCTGACGTGAGGCTCTTGATTGGGGAGTAAATTCTCCCCCGTCAGTACTAAAGGAAATGTATTGAGATCAGTATGGAGAATATGGATGCTGACGTGAGGCTCTAAGGGGTTAAAAATTTTGTTGTGTAGTACCGCTGAGTATTTTACTCGTTGTTTGTATTTTGACCGGCCCTACGGGCTCGTCAAAATACGACTCACCTTGTAAAAATACTCGGCGATACTACGCAACAAAACGTTTAATAATAAAAACATATATATAAATAGAATAAATGTTTGAAAAGAAAATTTGCTCTGAGGGAAATTTGCCCTTTTCAAACATTTATTCTATTTAAGTTTGATTAATTATTTGGGGTGTACAGGGTCAGGGTTTCCCTCGTATACAGAATTTATTTATATATATATATATATATATATTGGACGATCCGCGACCAAAGACCTAAAATGCAAAACTAAGATTTGTTGCTTTGCTTTTTAGTTAAGGGTTTCTTCTGCCAAACGACGACTTCCGAGGAGCGTGACCTGGGACTGGGAGGACTGGATCCCACAGAGCTTGTGGTGCCAAGAGTTCACAAAGAATCTTTCTCGTTAGATGACAGCACAGGTCATTATATCTCACAATCTGCCCACGAAAGTGACGAGGACGTTGCTAGGTTTGTTAAGCAATGGTTGTATCTTCTGTTCACTAGAGAGAGCGGACAAGGAAAATTCAACTAATAATGACGGGGGCGTCGTTGGGAATTTTCAAGGGGTGGGGGGGCGGCGAGAGGGGGTCATAGTTATAAATTTCCGTGCACGAGTTACCAGTTCTAGATTTAGATGTGCGAATGGATTTCACGTTCAGGATTTGCCTAAAGGTTCTTTCGAAGCACCAGGAACGCCTGTGACATTTTGACGGAGTATGTCCCGGTGTTGCGTGCAATCAGATTAGAACAAACAACGTAGTTTCCCCGATGACCTGTCCGTCTTGTACGTTCAGAGATATTGTTCGCTTCGTTGATTACCCTGTTTTCTTTCATAGGTATGGTCAAGAGTTGCCTCAGTCTGAAGTGTTTGAATATGACCATGGCCTCTCAGATCACCATCACCATCAACATTACAAGTCACACAGGGGCAGCGCCCAAAAACCTCTCAGAGGAACACAGAAGGTAGTTGAATTAAGTAGCTCCGTCACACTTGGTGTATGGTCTCAAATAGATGTAGTTTTTTAACGAGCGAATTTTCTAGACCATCGCCTCTAGCAAAATTAGGTAAAACCAAAGCAATCCCGGATGAGTTTCGATACCCGATTGAAAACTACTCTATTAGTAATCACCTGGGTGACCAGGGTGTGCGAGAAAATCACGAAACCATAAGTATTCGGCATTACTGGCCTCTTTTTCTTGGTAAAAGTCACATACCAGAAATATTTTTACTGTCCATGCATGCTGTAATTTTTTTTTTTTTTTCACCTGAATAATTGTTCGCTGGCAGGAAGGAAAGTATCGTACAACAATTCGTGAGAAAAGATATCCGTGGAAGAGTCGCGAAGAGGTTAAACACAGCCAGGGAACGTCACACAGCCAAGGAACGTCAGCCGGTGGAGAAGGCAGGTGTTGTATTCACATGGTTAGGGATGCATCTGAATCAGCTATTTGCAGCAATGCTCGTTCACAATCTTTTTCCAAACACTTAACCTTTCCAGTCCCAAGATTAACATATCAGTTCTCTGCACTGTTTGCTACATTTCTTTAAATTTTCGCTTGGAAAATTTGGTGTTGAATTAAAACATCATACCCGGGTTGACAATTTCCCTTTTTTCTCACGAAAGGACAAATATTCTCCTGAAATGTTCTCCTGAGGTTTATTTTCAAAGAGATTGTGACAAGTCGAGAGCAGTTGACGATGATGTGTTTTTATCCTTGAATTTATTTATTTTTTCTGAAAAATAATGAAAAGAATCGGGATTGGTTTTAGTTCTGCATCTGATTGGTTGAAAAGTTAGGGCGAGTTCTCGTAAATGATAACAGAGCGCACTGAAGTAGAACCAAAGCAATCTCGATTACTTTTGATACTTAATGGAAAAGTGTTTTAGCACCATGGACAAATTTTGACGAACTCCATCCAGAGGCGTGTTTCGCATGTTTTCGTTTGGAGGCAAAGAAGTGAAGTCGGAAGGGCATGGTTTCCTTGTCATGTGAGGGAAAGTAATGAAGTTGTAAAATACAATTTTTTTAATTGTTTGGATTCAATCTGGTGTTTAGGTTCCAAGTCAGTAAGTCAAAGCGCTACTGGAAGAAATTCTGGCTGTGAGGAAGACAGCCTTAAACATTGTACAAAGAGACCTAAGGTGGTTCAAGATGCAGAAACTATTAATCATGGTGAATGTGGCGGGACTGGAAAGCCAGGAAATTGGGATATATATGTTTTTGCATGGATGAATAAAGTGCAACTTGAAAACTGGGTTCGAAGGCAGAACCACGGCGCTAAATTGGCCAGCATTGGAACGGATCAAACTTGCACTGTCGAGTTTACCCCGGAATCTATACGAAGGTCATCAGAACGTCTTTATCGTCGAGCCAAGAAGCGATTGAGGCGATTATGTCAAAGCTCAAGGTCGTTTACAGAGGACACAGATGCCTTAGAGTTTGATTTTGATGACATGAACGCGGAGACGAAGTGTAGAAATGTTAAAGAAGCAATTTCTGTTTCGAAGGAAGATGGGAATGTTGAGAGATGCACTGTACAAAGCACGCATATTAAGCACTCGGCATCACCTTGCACCACGGCTGAGAAATTTGCACAAAGGCATGTTTATGTTCATGTCGATGTTGAATGTGATGATTCTGTTCATCCTAAGACGGATGATCTGTTGTGTGATAAAGAAGTTTCAATTATTTTCGAAAGAGGTTTGGTTACGAAGGTGGAAGAAGCTACCAGAAACGATGGTGATCCAAATAATCCAAAGACCAACTGTTCACCTGATTTAAAAAGAAAAGACTTGTCTATAGAAGTGGAAGAACACGGCGATGTGTTGTTAGGGGATCAGTGGAACGGATGTGGGAAAGATGGCTTAACAAGAAGCTCAGTAGCTGACGCAAAAAGTGGAAGCATCCATAAAGAGGATGTAGTGATGGAGAGTTTTTCAACAAAAGAGTTCGATTCTAGTGAGGATAAAGAGCATGAACTGCTAGACATTGATAAGCACTATATTGCAGATGATGTAGTGTTACACCGTGCTGCGTCTGAAGGGAATTGGGAAGCACAGGACGGACAGGCAAACCTTTGTAACTTTGTAACTTCTGATACCAAGAATGTGAACGACGTAAAGTCGATCGAAGATGTTTGTATGAATTTGAATTCACAACATAACACAAGTACAAGCAATACGCCGCAGAACGTCTTCGAAGACCAAAAATCAAGTGTAGCAGGACAGAGTACTCCAGGTGTAGAAAATGTTCCTTGTGAGGAAGGTAGTCTTCGCCATAAAACTCCAAAGTTTTCTGATGGAGACGAAACGAAAGAAGAAAGGATGCTCCCACAACCTGAATTAGCTACTGATGTACGAAGAAGAAGAAGAGAAGGAGAAGGAGAAGGAGACAAACGTGCCAGTATTGACAGTTCCGATTCTAAAAGCAGTAAAGGGAGCCACACGAATGAAATTCCTGTTCAACCCCTTTCAGAAGAAGAGAAGGCAGGTGGGTTAGCTTCCGAAAAGACAGCTTCTACTGCTGAGGCCTCTTTCGGTATGAGTTCAGATCGGCTAAACGAAGCTGACAACGCCCCTTCAACGGCTGTAACGACTGCTGCTGCTGCTGTCTCGACGTTTAGTGATCCTGCTGTGCATGGTTGTGACATCACTTGGGTAACCCACACATCACGAGTGCCACTTCAGGCAGTATACACACCGCCTCGTGTAGCTTCCGATGATCTTCGCCCTCCTGGGACTGACATTTTCTCTTCGGATATTCGACCTCCTAACAAAGATGAAGAGGGTAAGCAACCACCCGAGAGTATAATGGATCCTTTGGTAAATTCTGTGTTGAAGCAGTTCTACACCGAAAGCGATAATTTTGGTGGCAGCAGGAACACTGATTTTAGAGAGAAGGGAGGTAATGCTAAAACAAACTCTGGTGTCTGCATTTCGACGCCTACGAAATCGGCGCAAAAGAGCAGCAGAAAACATGAAGAGCCACTTGACACGGAAATAGGATCTGACCACGAACGAAGTACCACGACGCCTATGAAATCAGCGCAAAAGAGCAGCAGAAAACATGAAGAGCCAGTTGACACGGAAATAGGATCTGACCACGAACGTAGTACCACGACGCCTATGAAATCAGCGCAAAAGAGCAGCAGAAAACATGAAGAGCCAATTGACACGGAAATAGGATCTGACCACGAAGGAAGTGCTACGACGCCTATGGAATCAGCGCAAAAGAGCAGCAGAAAACATAAAGAGACAATTGACATGGAAATAGGATCTGACCACGAAGGAAGTGTTACGACGCCAATGGAATCAGCGCAAAAGAGCAGCAGAAAACATAAAGAGACAATTGACATGGAAATAGGATCAGACCACGAAGGAAGTGCCACCATTATGGTTTTTGAGAGGTCAGAAAGCTCTGATAAATATCCAATTCAAGACAAGCCGGTAAAGGTGGAATCTGCCAAAACTGTAAACCAACAAAGCTTAACAGAAGATGTCCAATTACATGCCAACGACGGCATACCACTGGTGGGGAAATCTTTGGATGCATCAGCAGCTAGAAATCCTTATGTTGATACAAACCTACTCAAATCTCAAGAACTGTTGAACAACGACACACCCAAGGAAATTCTACTTATTTCTGATGATGAACGACAAGAAACCATTTCATGGAACACAAGAGATGAACCAGGGGCAGGAAAAACTGATATTGATGTGGATGAATCATTGCCGAAGAATTCATCAGTCACTTCTAACAAATTGAGAGGAGATAGTCCTAATCTCAACCCTGTTAACACCATGGTGGTGGAAGATAAATCGGTGAAAAGTCCTAAAGGAAATGCTGCTGGTAGAACGCAGGAAGAAAAGCTTGATTTTGCGAAGGATGAAGTGCAGGTACAGGAAGGCAGTACTAGTGCCGAAGGAACAGCGAGGAAGAAAGTTACGGACAAAAAGTATCAGGAAAATCTCTTTGCCTATGTTGATAAAACACGAGCAGAAAAACCTGTAAACCTGGAGGAAGACTTATCGGAAGAGCAACCATCGAGCCCTATTGACCCGCTCCTCATGGCAAGTGCTGAGCAGACCATTTTTAGCTCAATAGGTGGCTTAACAAACCTGTTAGGACAATCGACAACGTTTGATCGCATCGCAGAAGAGACCATTGCCTCCACAGTGTCTTCGTTGGAGGACATTCTTCGTCAAGCACATAGCAGCCACTTAGAGTTGAGCAGCTGCCCCTCTGACAGCGGTGTGTCTGTGGGAGAGGAAGCTTCGGCTCCGTCCAGAGTAATCAACTTCAACAATATTACTCAGTTATCGAGCCCACCACAAGAGGAGGATCGCACGTCGGGGTCGTTGGACGGGCAGTCTCTGAGTGGATTGGCACAGTCAGAGTGGCTTTCTACAACTGAGAAGAGTGATGCAGGTTGTTACATAGGTAGAGGTATGTTTGTTTTTTTTTTTCAAACTGTTCAGACTTACTAGTGAAATGCATGTGCTTATTTGTAACCTTTTGTATCATCTTAAAAAGTGGTTTACTAATGGGGGGGGGTGGGGGCTTTTTTGATTAGTCTCCCACCTTTAACGAAATCCTTCTCTGTTCTCTGAAACTTAACGTGAACGTTACTTAACGGGAAGCGGTGGGCTGAGGTTTTGATTACACACATTTATACATGTAAATGCTGT